GTGACAAGGGCACATGTTAGAGTCCTATTGATCTGGGCTCAAATACTGGCTCTGGGCACGGCTCTTACTTTCTCTGAGCCTCTATTTCCTCATCTGCAAAATGGGGATATTAAAGTCCATTGCCAAGTAAACAGTAGGTGCTCAGCAAATGGGACACAGGGTATCTTTGCTTCTAGTGGCCATGGGAGAAGCCTGATGGGGTGACCCAGCCCACCTGACCTGCCTTTCCTCAGGTGATGCCTCAGTTTCAGGTTGCAGCCCACTGAGGGGATTCCATTAAGGTAGCTTCAGATCGATAGCATGAGCAAGCAGAGGGAGGACTCTACATACCCCAAAGGAGATGTAGGCACCCAGCAGGCTGCCAGCGATGGTGGCGTAGCCTCCAGTCATGACGACGTGAACCTCAGAAAGCGTCATATCTGCCAAGTAGGGCCGGATCAGGAGAGGCGCCTCAGTCTGCGGATGGGAAGGACACCCGACTCAGAGCTGACCAGGCCAGGCTAGGGACATCTCCCCTCCCGGGGAGTAGGATGGTGCCAGTGAGTGTCACGGTGTCTCGGGGGTTGGGGAGGATTGTGATCTGTACTTATCTGTACCTCTGCAAGGACCGCCATCCCTGCCCCTACACCTGATAAAGTTTTCAAGGGTGAGTGCCCCACCAATGCCCCCACATACACGATTCCCAGCCTTCTGAGATAGCCATGGTCACCCCTATTTTCCAGGAGAACAAACAGAGGCTCTGAGAGATCCAGAGAGTTGCCCTTGCTCAAAGGGATGGGAAGTAGGCCTAACTCCAGACGTGAGCTTTTGATGAAGTCACGGGGACTGCCAAGAGAAAGGAGCTGGGGCATTAAATCGTATGTTTATTTCAGGGCCTCAGGGGAAGCCTGGAGCTATTCATTCATTCATTCATTCATTCATTCAATCAATAGTAACTGAGCACCTGCTGTGAGCCTAGGGATACAGGTGTAAACCAGACAACGTTCCTGTCCTGTCCTTATGGAATGTACGTCCTGGAAGCAGTGAGGAGGGTGTGGGGGAAGAAACTAAATAGACAATATAATTTTAGGTAGTGATACAAGCTATGAAGATATGTGAATGATCAGCAAAGGCCTCTGAGAGAAGGTGAAATTTGGGCTGAGATCTGCAGTATAAGGTCTGGCAGAGAGAACAGCAAAGACCCTGAGGCAGGAACAAGCAAACCTAGTAGTAAGTCTAAGTTGCTGTTAGAAGGCCGGTGTGTGTGGAGCAGGGTGAGCAAGAGGCTAGTTTACGATGGAGCAGGAAAGGCAGAAGGCACACAGAGGGTCTTCCTTCCGGGTAAGGAAGAATGTGGATTTGTTTAAGCAGGAGGTGGTATGGTATGGTTTATATTTTTAAAGGGTCACCCCGGTGTGCATGTGAAGAATGGAGAGTAGGAGAAGGACCGGAAGCAGGAAGAACAGGTAGAAGGCCTTGAAGTGAAGTCATGGGTGGCTGGGAGCAGTGTGGTGGCAGCAAAGGAGGGGACAGGTGGCAGACCTGGGGTTCAGTGTGGAGGCTGAGCTGACACAGCTCACAAACTGATGGATGAAGTGGGTAAGAGGCAGCGGCAGAAAAGGCAACACCTCAATTTCTGTGTGAACACAAATGAAGTGGAGGATGTTGCCTTTCACTAAGCTGGGAAAACCTGGGAGGTGTAGTTCTGAAGAGGGACTTAGTGAATTAAGTTTGAGACACGCACCAGATGTCCAGTAATTGAATTGGACATATTAGACTGGAGTTGAAGAGAGAGATGAGAATGTTGGGTTTGGACCTGGGAGACACTGAAAATACTGAAAGCTAGGGGGCTGGTGTGGTCCTCTTGAAAGAAGTGGACAGAGAAGATAAGAGAGCCCAAGTCAGACAACAATTAGAGGTTGAAATGATGCTGTTCATCCTAGAAAGCCCCATTGTTTTCCCAGGGGTCTAGGGCAACTTGATCAGTAAGTTGTCCAAAGTTCATTCAACTTGTGAGCTCTTTATATCAC